TGGGCACTGGGCCTTTCCACATCCCACATTCCACATCCCACTGCCCCCAGAAGAGAACCACTGTGTTGGGGACCAAGTTCCCAGCTGTCCCCAGCAGCTCTCCTGCCAGAGCAGCAGCTGGGGAGCAGAGCAGTGGCCCTACAAGGGGGTCACTGTGCCCTGTCCCAGCCTCTCAGCCTCCCACAGCCGCTTGCCCAGGAGCGGCACCGAGATCTCTGCACTGAGATTTTCAATTAGGGAACACAAAAGCCTGTTTAATAAACTCTTAGAGCCTCGTTAGCTGAGACATAATTAAGATAAATGTTGATTTGGGACTAGAGGCAACAGGGTTAGGAGTGAATGAAAGAGGGACAGAGAGTTTCCACCCTCAGGATGATGCAAGGCTGAGTTTCCCTCCTGGAGCAGTGGAAGGTATCCAGTGTATTGCTGTGCTGGAGGGAACCTGCCTGTATTTCCCTTTTCTGGCAGAAGACAAACATTAAAAGGGACAAAAAGCAATGTTTTTATAATTATTCCCTGTTTTCACAGCAGCTTTGCACACTCACAGCCCAGGCAGGGGCAGGTTGGGAACAAACCTCCACATTTTGCTTGGAACTGGAGGATCTTTAAAGCCCCTTCCAACCCAAACCATCACAGGCTTCTGTGATTTTGGGCTGACAGTTTGGGTTCTGATGCTTCCCTGGTTGCTGGGAGGAAGGATGGTAGGACTAGGAAGCCCACAAGGGTCAGGCACGCTGAACCAACATCTGGGCACCCACAAGGGCAGAGGGAAACACAATCTCTGCCTCCCCTCTCGGGTTTATCAGCCTGTTTTTTAGGTGTCTGATCCCTTCAGAATAAACTTTTATTGGTTAATACCAAATGTGATCAAATTCTGCAGAGGGGGGGAGAGATATGGCCTTTGCTCTGCTAAAGCAGTGCCAGGTTTGAACTCTTTCCCTCATATCTTCATTTATTAAAGCCCTTTTTCTTTCCAAGGAACAAGGTGTTCCTGGCTGGAGTCCTAAATCAAGCCAGGATCAGTGGGTGGTAAAATCCCCAAGGATGCCAGTGGGACAGCCCTGGCACTCCCTCTGAGGTGGGACCCTTGGACAGACCCTATTTAGGGGTAGAGCAGTGATGTCAGACTGTTTTGTGCCCCTGCCTTTCCCTGGGTGCAGTTGTGTTGTGTCCATGGGCTGAAGACTGATGGGATGGGCCCTGTTTTTACTCTTCCTGATGGATTTGGCACCCAAGTTAATGCCAGTCAAGAGTCCTCCCTGTCACAAACCCAAAATCCCACTGAAATTGCTGTGACTGACTCCCCTTTGTTGTCCTCAGGGCCAAATTATCCTTTCTGGTGAGTCCCAGGTGGTTTTCCTGCTGCTCTGGATTTGCATGGATGTAACCTGAGGCCAGGGCTTGATTCACCATGCACTGACTGCATCACCTTTGATGGTTCAGCCAGACCCTGGTCTGTGATCAAAAGGGAGAGAAAACAAGAAAATATTCACAAAGGAGTTAAAAAGCAAATCAAAAACCCCCCAAAAAAACCCACAACAGGAGGGAGGGGGGAGTGTCCATCCATCCATCCCCATCACTGTGCAACCACAGGAGCTGGGAGAGCTCTGGTTTATTGACTGATAAATTGAAAGGTTGAGGCTCAACTGCAAACTGGTGGCCAAGGAAAGAAATGTGTTTTGCTTTGTTCTGCCACTGCAGGGAAAAAGAGAAATAAATAACAAATTACTGTTCCCAACCCCAGCCTTTGCAAGCCTGCTTGAGGGGGTAGTCCTAAACCTGGCTCTTGGCTCACCTGAGCACCCCAGGCTTCAGCTTTCCAGTCATTTCCCACCCCTGAGTTCCAGGAGGAATTCTGACCCCCCTGGCCAAATGGCTGCACTGGATCAAAGTCCTCCTGAGACTTCACCTGGCAGGAAACTGGGAAAGAGGGAAAGGTTGTTTTGGCCTCCTGTGATGAGGAGCATCCCTGTATTTTAGGTCATGCCTGGGCTGAGAGGAGGATGAGTCAGTCCAGCTTAAAGAACCTGCTGTGTCCTCTGCTCAGTCTGTTTAACCTCCCCTAATGCAAATTCAACCAGGCCTAATTTATTAATGTATAGAAAGAGAACTTGGCAAAAACATTTCTCTGCCTTTTTCTGTCATTTTAGCAGCAGAAATAACACATTTCTCACAGCACATGCTGCCACTCTCCAATCCCTTCCTGCTGTGTTTTCACAGCACAGTCAGTCACTTATTTGCCCAACCCCCAGCTGGCAGAGAATAAAATCAGTCAGTACTCCCCAGATAAGGCCTGGTTGGGTATAAATCCCTGGCAGAATCATTCCACTGGCTGTGGAAATCCCGTGGAAAGGGCTGTTTGCCATCAGCCATCAGTCTCAACCTGCCAGGGGCACGTTGGTAACTCCCCACTGCAGGTCTCTGGTTGGAATTCTCCCACTCTGGGCTGGCAGCAAATCTCCCCAAAGGCCAGTGAAAGGTAAAACCTGAGCTGACTTGGGCTGCAAAACCTCTTCAAAAGCCAGAAGTGCCTGGTTTTGAGGGTGGTTTGCAGGGAGGAGGAAAAGAAGGACTAATTTTTTGTCATTTTCATTGTAACTCAGACGAGGTTTTGAGGAGGGCAGAGTGAGATCCTGAGGGAAGAGCTGCTCACCCTGCTCACACAGGGCTGCTCCCAGGGCAGGAAATGTGCCCAGGGCTCAGAGATAGGGAGGGAAATTACAGCCAGGGCTGAGTGTGATTGAGCAGGGACCCCAGCAGATAACACAGAGCAGATAGCAAGGGCAGGTCTGGCTGCACAAGGACTCAGACAGGCTCTGGCAGCCTGGGTTTTGTTCCTATTTCAGCACTCAGGATGTCAAACCCCCTGCCTGATGCTAAATACCGAGCTGCTTCTTCCTGTGCTTCAGGGAGCAATTTCCCAAGGTTTTTACCCAGATTTCATCCTCCCCTTCTGGCACTGTGCACAAATCACCTGCACTTTGGCCATAAATTGTTTCCAGCCTGCACCAAACACACATAGAACCCCTGGGCCCTGGCAGAAGTTGCCTGGTCCATTTTCCACCCCCCTCACCCCTGCTGTGGCTGTTGAGTGTCACACAGGGGGCTCTGGGGACACTGAGCACTCCCCCAGGCTCAGCATCACCATCCTGGCCGTGCCCTGATGGATGGGGGGTGAACAGGTTGGACACTCCAACAAGACCCACTCTGAGTGATCAGTTCATCCTCTTTGCCCCAGGAGGGCCCCACTGAACCCCAATTTCCCCCCCCCAAGTTGTCCCTCTTGGAGAAGGTAATGCCAAACTGCACATTTTTCTGGAGATTCATCGACAAGAGCCACCTGATTGTCCATCTAGAGCTGTGTTTTCCAGCAAAACCCCCAACCTGGATTAGGGAATGGACACTTATGTAGAATAGACACCAAATTGATGCACCAGGACTTCTCCCTTTCATAAAAAGTGACCATTCCTGTGAGATCTTAATAAAACTGTGGTGCTGGCACTTCCAAATCCCTCTGCCATGTAGGTGTGGGAAAAGAAGCACTGGGCTGGTTTCAGAGGTGGAAAACTGAGGGAATCAGAGCCCACCTCACACCAAACTTGCAAGCTTAAAACTGGGAGCTGAACCAAGATCTGGAGGCCACAAAGTCGACACCAAAACCACGAGCCTTTTCACCACTGCTTGGAGTCACCCCTTCCCTTTCAGTTCCCCCTGTTTTTTGTGTGGGCATGGATGTCATTAAGTGAAATGTGTTTGCAAAAACAAGAATCCCTTCTGCAATGCACATTTACCCGTTCCCTGGAGCACCAGCGCTGCCGAACGCCGGGGAAATAAAATTAGTGGTGATTCTTTGGAAATTAGAAAACAAATCAGTCATTAGCCTAATGGAAAGCTCTTTTCAGTCCCACGGGTGCGCTCTGCACGCCCTCCTAAAGTGGTTTCTTTGGGGGTTGATGGAAAATTAATAGAAGCCAAGTCGTGCTGTAAATCGAGAGAGGAATTAGGAAGGAATTCAGAGGCTTCTGAGTTTTCTGCCTCCTGGTGCCGTCCTTGCTTGCAAGGAGTTAATCCTCAGTGCTTCCTCCAGCTTTCAAATCAAGGCAAAGAGGATGCCTGGGTTGATCAGCAGGTGGATTGTGCTTTTCAGCTTCCCTTGGGTCTCTCTGGGGGTCACTCATGGCCAGAGCATCCAAACCCAGGTGATTGGCAAAGGATGACCCTTCCACAGCTTCTCTGGGCAACCTGTGCCAGGGCCTCCCCACTGGAACAGGGAAGGATTCCTTCCTAATATCCCATCTAAATCTCTCCTTTTTCAGTTTAAAAGAGCTCAGCTGCTCCAGAGGATCAGGCTGGTGGTGGTCAATGCCACAGATTTACTCAGCAACTTGAATGCTCCATCCCTGTGCTCTGCACAGCAAGTCCCCAGCGCTGCATCCATGGGACACCCCCCTCCGTGGGAGCATTAATTATTAATTACTGCCACTTCCCAAACGAGCTGGGAGCTAAAATGGGTTTTTCTAATCCTGTCAGTGGAGAAGAACTTGTGGCAAATCAACTGCAGGCAGAGGGAGCTGGCAGGGAGGACATCAAGGCCTGCACTAATTACTCCATGTGTCCCAAGGACTGATAAGAAGTTGATTTATGCCTGGAACAGGCTGATAATTCCAGAAGTAATAGATAGTGTGTGACTTAATTAATCAGAGTAGACCTGGCTGTGGTGGGATTTGGAGTGAGCAGCCCTGGTGTAGGGCAGGTGTAGGGAAGGTGGGCACAGCCCACAACTGTGAGTAACCCAGGAGATGCTACCAATGGTCCAAAGCCAGGGCCAGGCTCTGGGCACATCCTGCAGTTGTCCCTCCTTGTATCAGGTGAGTTCTTGTGTTTGGGGAGTGTGAGTGTGGCAGGAATAGAATGCCTGAGTCATTAAAGGGCTGGCAAAGCCCTCTGGAGATCCAAACCTTCGGGCAAACCCCACCCCGTCAACTAAACCACAGTCAGGAGGGGGTTGAACTTGTTTTAATTTCTGAAAACACAGTTTGTATTCACATCCAGACTGACATTCAGAACCAATAAATACACACAACAGCTCCCCAGGACTTCACAATGATCAGCACTTACAGAACAACAGAGTGGCTACATCACGTTTTCTATGGATGCACTTTGGGTTGGAGTGTGAAGACATCATGAATACACTGAATCCTTTCAGAAAGGTCTTCCCAATCGTGGCTTCCTTTTTTCCTCATTCCTGCTGTGTTTGGAGGATTCCTGGGCACCATGAATCTCTTGGATGGGTTCATGACAGCGAACCAACACAGCAGGACCACCCAGCACATTCCAGCCACGGCTCGTGCGCAGCTTCGAGGTCAGTGCTGGGGCCTTCTGTGGGTGAAACTCTGAAGGAACAACAATTTTTCTCGTAAGAGATCCCCCTGAAGGATTCCAGAGACACTGTCTGAGCTGTTTTCTGCTCTCAGCTGCTCCCAGCAGTGCAAAGCAGCCATAAGCCCAGTTAACAAGGTAGCAAAAACTGCTCTCGGGGGGTTTTGCATCATTAGGGCAGTACAAAGCCTGGAAATGAGTTCTCCAGAGGACCCCAAAGTGGTCCCCACGTGACCCAGGTCACCACGACAGCATGGGCAGAGCCCACTGCAGCCCCTGCCACTTGGAGCTGGGGAAGGGAGGGGGGTGAGGCCACCTCTATGTACATTTATTTCAGCCCGTGGGTCTCCACAGTTTTACCTTTTTCACGGATCCACCTCTCCTTGAGGCCCCTCCCACCAAAGTTCTCCAGCCCTACCAGCCCTTTGCAGTGCCAGCCCCTGCCCTCAGACCTTGCTGGTCTGCATGTGACCGTTGAATTCCACGTTCCTCTGGGTCAGCATGGACTCCTGCAGGCGGCTGCTGTTCTCCTGCCTGTGTTCCACGGGCTCCCCGTCCTCCACGCCGTTGCCCTTCCGGAGGCAAAGGACCTTCTGAAAGCTCTGCTTGAAGTTGTCAGAGAGGAAGCCATAAAGGATGGGGTTGGCACAGCTGTTTGCATAGGACAGGACCACCATGAAGAAGTACAAGCCCACCAGCACGGGGTCTGCCGGCAGGATGAATATCAAGTTGACGATGTTCATGGTGTAAAACGGGAGCCAGCAGAGCACGAAGACCACCACGATGATCACCACCATCCTGGTCACCTTCCTCTCCGACCTCCTGCGCCTCGTGGACCCCACCCGGATCCCCGACGACTTGACCTTAATGACAATCAGCAAGTAGCACAGGCAGATCACCAGGAGAGGCCCGAAGAAGCCCAGGACCGAGGTGTAGACGATGAAAGCCGCCGACCAGACGCTCACGGGCTCTGGCCAGTTTATGTTGCAGGTCTGGAAGTCCTCCTGCACGTCCGAGAAGATGATGACTGGAAGCACCACCAGGAAGGAGAATGTCCACACAGTCGCACTGATGAGCTTGGCCACCCTGGGCCGCCTCCACTTGGTGGATTTGATGGGATGGACCACGGCCAGGTACCGGTCCATGCTCATCACCGTCAGGCAGAAGATGCTCGTGAACTGGTTGATGCCGTCCACGGTCATGACCAGCCTGCACAGGAAGGAGCCAAACGGCCAGTAGGAGATGGCGTTCTGGGTGGCCAGGAAGGGCAGGCCCAGCATGAAGAGCACGTCGGCCACGGCCAGGTTGAGGATGTAGATGTTGGTGACCGTTTTCATCTTGGCGTGGCGCAGCACCACGTAAATGACCAGCGTGTTCCCGCTGAGCCCCACGGCGCACACCAGCAGGTAGCAGATGGGAATGAGCACCTTGTGGATGTACTTGAAGGAGGGCTGCTCCGGGAGCGTCCCGTTCTCCGTCAGGTTCGCCAGCAGGGAGGAGTTCCCGGCGCTGGGCCCGCCCTCCGCGCCGAAGGTGTTGGAAAAGTACAAAGGATCCATAACTTCTGCTCCTCGGTTTTTTACTTCTAAGGCTAAAGGAGGTTAAACTTCACGGGCATCTTGTTCCTGGAAAGAAAATTTTAAAGAGGAAGAGAAAGAGACAAGAAGGAGTGAATTCACAGCACGTTAAGTTTTACACATCATTGAATTTCCTCTCCAGGCTCAGAATTAGTGTTGGAATTATGCAGTGTGAGATCAGTGCCTGGACAAAGGAATTGAACAGTGGGAGGGCTCAGAGCTCATCCCAGGAGATGCTGGCACCTGTTTTGTTTTCACAGGATCTGTGCAGAGCTGGATGAAACCATAAAGATGGGAGGCTGCAGAACAGGAACATGGGAACAACGTGGATCCTGCTGGGAAACACAGGTGAGACGGGAGAGGGTGAGGCCATCATCATTCCCAGCCTGAAGAGAAGGAGTTGGGAATGCCCTGGCATGTGGTTCTTCGGGTCCAAAATCTGCTGTAATGAGGCCAGACCTTCCTCTGCTGCTGAGAAATGTGAAGTTTGGTAAACAACCTTCACCCTTTGAATGCCTCAGTCTCTGTAACCTGTCATGCAGCCAAAGTCCTCCTCTGGGATATCCAGGAGCTGGGCTGGTAACACCAACACTTCCCACCTGGAATAAGGAGAGGGTCTTTTAGCAAGGTCGTGCTATAGGACAAGGAATAATGGCTTTAAACTGCAAGGGGAGAGGTTTAGATTAGATATGGGGAAGGAATTCTTGGCTTTGAGGGTGGGCAGGCCCTGGCACAGGTTACCCAGAGAAGCTGTGGCTGCCCCATCCCTGGAAGTGTCCAAGGCCAGGTTGGACGGGGCTTGGAGCAACCTGGGCTGGTGGAAGGTGTCCCTGCCTTCTTTTCCATCTCTCCAGACTGTTCTTCTCTTAGTGTTTCCAATCCCTCTCCTCTCACCTGAACTGTACTTTGTGTCCAAGAAACACCTTTATTCCACAAGAAATCCAGGCTGCAGTGGGCACTGCAGGACACAGCTGAGCAGATGGGGTGAGAGGAGAAGTTTTAATAGACAATTCTGGAAGAGGCTGAGAATTTCCAACGCCCTGTTTCTGCGCTGGGCTTGATTCACAGGAATATTTTTTCATCTTTTCGTCCAAGTAGGTGTTTGTAAAGCATTCCTCCAGAGAAACTTGAAAGCATTTGCTCTAAAAAAAAAACTTGCAGATTCAAAACACACAAGGTCTCTCTCCCCCCCAAGTCTCACAACAAACCTTGGTGAAGGTGCTCAAGCAGGTGGTGCTCGGCCACATCAGCTGATGGGCAGATTTCCATCACAATCTGGGGGCAGGAATCTGGATTTCCAATACCCCCCCCCAGCCCACGCTGCATCCAGGCCTTCCAAACCCAAGCAAACTGTGCATCATTGCAGCACGAGAAGCTTCTTGTCTCCAGGAGGGATCCAAAACACCTCCACGGCTGTTGCTGGGCTTTCTCTTCGGGTGAGAAAAGCTGCAGTGGGGGAAGAGGAGAAGTTCCCTCCAGCTCCCAGTGGTAAGCACAGATCTGCTGCTCTGATTTGGGAGTGTGCAGATGGGGAGTAGGTGTCTCACATGTCACTCCACGGCTGGGAGGAGACGTACCAGGGAAACCGGGAATCCAGGGGGGCCGGGATGGGAGGAAGAGCTCCACATCTTCTTATTCCCCCTCAACCACCAAATCCAAGCAGGACAGGCTAAGCCAGAGGTGAAAAAGACCATTTTAAGATGTAAATGGTTGGGAGGGTTGTTTTCTTTTAAGGGTTTGCTTTAGGGCAGTCGTGGGAGAAGTTGAATTTGGGGGGGTTTTTTTCCCTAATTTTGGCCATGAAAGAAATACATGAGCCACCTACAACATTCTTACAGATGCTGGCTTGGAGGTGGAGATGATCTGCAGGTTCTGAATAGTTGATTTCTGTGTTTGGGCTCAGGTGCTGCAGCCATGGGCATAGTGGGAGCATCCCTGCAATCCCTGCAGGGAGAGCTCAGCCAGACCATACTCCTTATAAATTAAATAGGACTGGATTAGTGCTTAGACAAAAAAACCTCAAACCCCAGCTCTGTCTAAAAAGTGGAGTTTTAAATGCTGTTCTGACTCTACTTTTAAAATATGATGTTAAATCTCAGTTTATTTGTGGGGAGGAGTCTGGGAGAAGCCCCAGCAGCACCACACTCCTCCTGGGCTCTGGGGCTTTGGGAAGATCCCATTTGCTTTCTGGGATTGACCCCAGCTGGGATGTCTGAAGGGCAGAATATAAAGGGAAAGAGTGGTGGGATGGGGTTGCTGGTGATTATAAACCCTTTTATTTCAAACTGCAGCTTCAGGACTGAGTTTGGGGCTGAGACTGGGAGAGCAGCTCATCCTCAGCAGCCCAGACAAGCTCAGCATCACCAGGCTGGGCCAAAAAAAAAGGAAAAGCCAAGTTTTTGTGCTGGGACTACAAAACCAAGAGGATGTAAAGAGAGCTGGAGCTCAGCAGGGGGAGGTCAGTCATGTGTGGCTCCTCCTGATGCTCTCAACAACGAGGAAGGACATCTCTCCTCTGAAGTCACCTCCTCTTTTTCCCCCAGCACATCTCTTTGGAATAGGTGGCTGTGGGAATGACACTGTTAAGTTCCAGCCTGGTGCTCCTTCCACTGCCTTTGGAGTTCAGGCCTTGGAGGAGCAGGACAAGGAGCTCCTTTAGTTGGACACTCCCAAATTTCTTCTCCCCCTGAAGAAAAACCTGCAAGCACAAAGGGCCTCAGGCTCTTCCAGCCATCCATGCCTGGCATCCCTGAGGCAGCCAGAGGTTTTCCTTGAAGGACTTTGTGTGTCTTCCACGTGTTTCCAGCCTCCTCCAGCAGCAGCTGTGGTGTCTCCTCCTGCTGCTGTGCTGTCCCCAGGGGTCAGTGACACTTCAGCACTTTGTCACTGCAGTATTTTGGGGCTCCTCTCTCAGTTTCTGAACATGAACCTTTACCCTCAGGGGGTTTTGTTGAACCAGAATTAAAATGTGATGAATTTCACGATATTCCTTGTCATACTGAGGGCATTGAGAAGGAAATCACAGAATCCAGGAGTGGTTTGGGTTGGAAGGGACCTTAAAGAACATCCAGTCCCATCTCCTGCCACTGGCAGGGACACCTTCCACTGTCCCAGGTTGCTCCAACCTGGCCTTGGACACTGCCAGGGATGGGACACCACATTTGCTGAGGGGGAAATCCATTTGCTGAGGCTCTGATGCAAAATCTCAAGTGTTCACCTGGTGCCAACCTGCAGGCTGGCAGCACCAGGAGGGAGTTTCCATCACCTGAACATTCCTGTGTGAGGATGTGATGGACTTAAAGTCATCCAGACCTGAAAACTGAGCCCAGATCTTGAGTCTCCATTCCTTGTTTTATCCACTCAGTCATGGAAACCTCCCTCCCGTGTAGCCATTGGTGTTTTGGGGGTTTTTATGATATGGAAACAACAAAAAAACCACCCTGGACAACTGCAGATTATGTTTTTCTGGCTGTTTTGAGTGAGCACAGAGGATTTTTCTCTCTGTCCATCTCACAACTTGCCCAATTCTGCCCGGGCTCACATCGTCACTCCAAGCAGTTAATGACCATGAACCTCCCCAAAGGATGACTAAATGTAATTAAGACATGCTGACTGATGCCTGATAGCCTTGTTTTGGTGTTCTTAATTAGTGGATTAATAAAACACACCCCTCCAGGGGACTTGCTCTCAGCCAGATTTTTTTCCCTTTGGTGTTTGATCTCCAAGCCACCCCCTGGAACAGTCCACAAATTATGTGCTTTCTGCTTAAAACACACAAAGCAGAAAGGAGATAAGGACACAGACCCAGAGTAACCAGTGACATAATCCCAAGCTCTCCTTTTGCAGGGCAGCACCCTGAAAAAAAAATCAGCTGAACATATCTGACTATCCATGTCCCTGCCATGAAAAATGAGGGAAGGGATAAAAGAGGGGTTATAGCACAGCCCATTCTGCTCAGAATTTAGTGAAAACTTCTCTAGCTGGTATCCTAAATAAGTGTAATTTTGCTGGGCAACAGAGAAAGGATCCAACAGCACAGAGCCCATCAGTGACTGAAGGTCATCACAGCCCAAGGAAGAGCAGACCTTAAAAATGCCCAGCCAGTGAGGGCTGAAATTCTCCCTGGCTGTGGTCACAACAGCAAAGCAAAAATAACCCTCTGGAGTGCATTGCATGAGAGTGGAGCTGGGACCAAGCAGGAATTACAGAAAGAAACCTAATTTTATGAGTCAAGATTTGATCTCTCTGCCTATTTACTGCTGGAATCATAACTCTCTTATGCAGCATCAGCCATAATTGCTGTGAATGGAATTACAACAACAGGATGGCAAATTGCTGCTTCCAGGTGCAGGAGGACGAGGAATAACAGGCAAAATGGTAACCCAGACAGACAGGCTTTGAAAACAGGCATTCTTAGGAGTAATGGGAAGAAAAGCAGCTGGATAACTGTCCAAGAATTATGGAGTGGCAGCAGAACTTTGTGAGGTTTTCCCATCCCAGAAAGAAACCTGATTTTAGGAGTCGAGATTTTCCCACCCCATGGATTTGTTAGTGGAGTAATTTGCTGTAATGAAGCAATGAAAACTCTCTTGGCCCTTCAGTAAATTTGCCCTTTTGAGTGTTCATCACCTGCTGCTTCCCACACAGGCTCCTGGGGCCTCATTCCTGGGGTTTTCATGGATCCAGCAGGCAGAGCTGAGGGGTTTGCTGCTGGAAGAGGGGGGGAGATGGTGGGAAAGTCGGTGTGACCTGGAAGAGCAGCTCTGAAATAAAACACCCAGGGAAGGCTCTGTGTGAGCAGGAGGGAAATGCAGCACCATGGTCAGACCTGCCTCAACTCTGGGCAGTTATCACCCTGTCCTGGGACTAAACCAGGAGCTCCCTAAAAGCACAGGAATCTCATTGTTCCATAGGTAACAGTCTCGCTTTCCCCTCTCCCAAGCCTCTCCCACCACCTAGGGTTGGAAAGCAGAGTGAATCAGTTCAGATGGGAACCTCCTCCTGGTGAAAATCTGCCATTTGGTGTTTCTCAGGGCGTGTTTCTCACTCCAAAAAAAAAAAACCCAGAGGGATTGTATTTTTTCTCCGCAGAACACACAACAAACCAACTGTCTCGCCCTAAATTGCTGCTCTGTTTGGATTAACTGGATTGGTACTAAACACTGATCAGCTGAAGTCACGGTTGAATAACTTCTTACCACTTCTAGCCCTAGAAAAAAATCTTTAAAAACTACATTTTCAAGCTGACAACACCTTGTTACCCCCTTGCTCACCCCAGCCCAGTGTTTCCTAGAGCACCCAGAGGAGACATGACCGGGTAACTTGCTCCTATTTTTAGTTTGCAAACAAACAGCCCATAAACCAATTTTGCTTCTGCCCAAATATTTGCTGAACACTTTCTTTCCCCGAGCACACTCTGGGCTCTGTTTTGCTCAGGGATTACTCACTTGGGCTGAGCTGGTCCTGCCACACAGACAGTCCTGTAAATCACTGGTTCATAAATCTGGGTTTGCTCCCAGATTTCAGCAGCTTCAGGGAGAGGAAGGTGTGGAGCTGATCCCTTTGTGCTCTCACCGGGCTGGGATGAGGCTCCAAAATCCATCTCCAGCCCCGGTCCATCACCATCAACAGGGGTTTGTATCAAAATGCTTCTCTTCCAGCCCTCTCCTCTGTAATCCAGCTCCTCCAAATCCAAGCATCAGCTGGTTTCAGGGACATGAGAGGCTCAAAGGCAGGGCAGTCGAGGAGCACTGACTACAGGCTGTGTCTGCTTCCAGGCTGAGGGAGAGCTGGAACAGCCACGGATCCCTTTGGCTCAGGGAGAGCCCCAGGCTGGAAGGAGCTCTGGAACAGCTTCTCTTGCTGTAAGAAGTGGAGCAGCTCCAGGAGAGGAGCCTCGGGGAGGAACTTCGAAGGTGTAGGGTCTCTGGCTTGGACACCCCCCACAAGCAGCAGTGCAGATCCACCGAGTCCCGGTGCCAGTGTCCCCAGGAGCTGGGATTTCCCACACCAGCACTCCCAGACTGATCCCAGCACACTGAGAACCGGCTGCCTGGTGCGACCTGCACTTCTCCTCCCCCCTAAAAACTCCAAAGAGTCTCTCGTTCAGCCCAGCACAACCTGCAAGTCCAAAAACACCCGAGCCGGGGTGTTCTCTCCCTGCTCTTCAGCGCAGAGGTCTGGGCACTGGGAACAAGCTGTGCCCGGATCTGTGGATTCTGGGAGCCAGCACAGGGACACAGGGAGCTGCTCCCAGCCCAGAGCAGTGCTGACCCCCAGGGCCCCACTTCGATCTTGACATCCACTCCCTCCTGACCACCCTGGAGCAATTCCAGCCCCCTGCACTTCCCTCCCGTGTTTGATCGCAGAGGAGCATCCTGCGCTCAGCTCCGGCCCCCGGCGGCTGGCTGAGCCCCATCCCCGCGGGCCGGGCACATCCAGGGCTTTCCCACCTTTTTGGGGCGGGCAGCACCGATCAGTGCCTGCACATCCCTCCCGCAGGTGCCTTTCTCATCCCTTTCGAGCTTCAAAGCCAGTCCTGCTTCAAACGCCGCGTCCCCCGCAAGGCAGCGGGACCCTCCCCGGCGTCCCCCCAGCCAGGACGGGTCACCCCCCTGTCCCCCACCATCCCTCCAGCCAGGACAGGGTCACTCCGCACGGAAAGTCCCCTCAGAAGGGCAAGTCCGGGGTGGCCACAAGTGGGCCCGATGGCTCCGGTGCCTCATTCACCCCTAGCGAACCCCCAAAAGCGCTTTGCCACCCCTCTCCTGCCCCAACCCCATCCTCCCTCCTCTCCCCCCACCGATCCCTCCCGGCTCCCCCAGCCCCGCTCGCCGTTCCCGTCTCCCCCGGGGATGGTTACCTGCAGCTCCAGGGGCTCCTCTCCCCTCTGGAAGCAGGATGCTCCCGCTCCCCCCGCAGAGCCGCGGCTGGAGCCCCGCTCCGGGAGCGCTCCCCGCGCGTCCCTGCGGCGGCGGGCGGGGACGGGGCCGCTCCCCCCACCCCGGGGAGGAGGGACGGGGCTCCCGGGGAGGAGGGACGGGGCTCCCGCGGAGGAGGGACGGGGCTCCCGGCCGGGGGAGCAGCGGCCCTGGGGCCACCCCTTCGCCGGGAACTTGGGCGGGAGGGAGCGGGAGACAGGAGCGCTCCGCCGGGATGCTCTCCCCGCGGATCCCCCCCGTGCCTCTCTCTCTGTGCCTGTGCCCTCTTCACCTCGTCCGTGCCCCCCTCCCCAGTCCCAGCGATGCCCTTACCTGGCTCTGCCGCTCCCGCCGCTCTGCCCCGACCCCGCACCTCGGGGGTCGCAGCCCCCCCAACTTCCACGGTGCGGGGTCCGCGCATCTCCCGGCAGGGTCTGGAGCCCCCACTGCCCTCGGAGGGGGCAGACCCGCATTTCCTCCTCTGCCTGAGCTCCTTCCAGCCCCGACAAGTCCTTTTAAAGGCTCCCGCGGGCTGGTCCTCAGCGAGCCCCCTCCCCGAGCGCCGGGACTCGCTGCTGCTCCCCCAAAACACGGCACACGAGCCCGCGGGCTCCTCCGGGGGCAGAGACGAGCATCTGACATCTTCGGCACGGTTATCTGATGCTCCCGTGCCTGAGCAGAAGGGGAAGACGGAGTGCCAGGGTCGCCCTCGCATCCTGCCTCTCCATGGAGAGCTGCGATCCCATGTGGGGAGGTTTTACTCCAGCTGGCTGCGAGTCAGACCCTAAAATTACTGTCTAGTGGAAAGATAAGGGCTTCTCATCCAGGCTGTGCTGGATTTACTCCCTCCCAACCTCCCTGGGGTTGTGCTGGGCAGGAAGAAGGTGAAATGTTTGGAATTTTGAGTATTTCGAAACGCAACAAGTGGAATAAAAGTCGTGCAGAGCTCTCCCCCCTCCAACCGGCACCCCCCCTGCTATTACATGTGTAAACATCAGCACCAGTGGCACTTACACTGCTCTGCTCCCTCACTCGTGAGGGGGATCAGAGCTGGGTGGTTACAGAGCTCAGGGCTCCTCAGCCCTGCCAGACACTCATCAGCATTCCCAGGGCATCGTGCTTCCTAATAATGGATATGAACTTCATCCACTGCCGAGGCTTTTCAATTAGAGACCTGTGATTGAGTCAGACGTGTGAAGGCAGGGGAAAAAAAAAAAAAAAAAAAAAGCTGCTTTTGGCATGTCAGCCTGTAATTCAATCTGCTGATGTATTTATGGTCATGTATTTGCTAAATTGAACTAAGACTCCGGTCCTCTCTCGCCATGACAATGGGGAGAGTCATCCGATAAAAATAGAGTTGGGCTGATAAACAGAAAAGGAAGAGGAGATTTCGATCACCTTCCTTGGAAACATGCCAGGCAAAATGGGAGTGCAACAGCCCCACTGGGAATATCAGCTTGAATCAGAAGGGGGTTAATTTAAGAGTTGCCCTCCTATATTTTATTAGCATTTTATTAGCATTTATGAGACATGAAACGTTGCTGAGAAAACATGGTGGTCCTTAAGGTTCCCTGAAGGAATCAGCACTTTTCTTCTAAGTAAACAGCTTGGAAAAAGTAATTTTTTCCTGTGGTAGGATAGAGGCAGGATTTTCCAGAGCTTTCAAGGTTTGTTGGATTCTTTACCCACTCAAGTCAACAGCTGAATGAAGGGAACAAAAAGGCACTCTGAGAGCACTCCCTGTCACGGTGCTTTTAGTGACTGATGCCCTGGGCAGGAGGCAAAGAGCAGCACAATCCCATTTTTTGGGATTTTTTGGGCCATGTGTTCTGGGATGATCCTGCTGGAGCAGGGAAGTGGGGCCAGTGACCCACCAAGATCCCTTCCAACCTGCCCCATCCTGTGAAAACCCCTCAGAAACAGCCCTAACTCAGACACAAATGTCTTTGTCTCCCCAGTCCTTGTCACACACAGAATTCCCTGTCCCAGCATGACCCCTGAATGGAGCTTTTCCTGTGGGAATGGTGAATGGTGATGGAAGTGCTGACACACTCATGGGAGTCACCCAGTTTAAACCAGTGCATGTGTGACATGGGGGAAGTGGGAGCTCCCAGGGAGCTGTGGGGAGAGAATCCTTGGGAAGCTCCTCCTGCCTTGTGGGAACTGCTTTGTCAAAATGCAGCTGAAGCAGAAAGGAGGAGCTGTGACCAAGATTTTTAGAAGGAATTTAGAACTCCTGGGGAACTTGTGTCAGCAGCCTCTCCTGGTGAACTTGGCAGCAAGGAACAGACACTGAGTGCTGCTGAGAGAGGAATTAGGAGTGTGAGAGAGATCTGGGGCCAAGCCTGGCTTGGACTGGAGGGAGGTGTTGAAATCCGAGGTCCTTGAGTTGGATTTCCTCTGATTAGAGAGGCTGGAGTAGCACAATCAAGACACTTTTTAACCTCAGAAGAACAGGGAAAGTGAGAAGGAGCAGAGGATGTTTGGTTTGGAGTAGTTGCTCCAAAAACTGATGGTGTGCAAAGGGTTAGACCCAGAATTTTTCACAGCCACAGAAGGAATAAGGTCAAACCCAAATAAATCAGTCTTGGAACCAGGCAAATCCACATAACTTTGCCAGGCTGGAAATGGAGTCCTTGGTGCTTCCAAATCTTCCCAAGTGGTGAAGGAGAAGCTTTAGTTTTAAAAATGGGGAGTCCAAGGCATTGACAAAAGAGGGAATTGTGTTCATTCCCACAAGCCTTCCCAAAGTGCAGGATGGCCTCGTGAAGGTGCCCATCCCAGCAGACAGAGCTTCCAGCACAGCAAGTGAAACTGTGGCTCCCAAAACTCAACTCCAACCTTTGCCTGAAGGTTTCTCTCAGGATTTTAAACAGGTTTTCTTTCTCTTTTCCAGTCTGAGAGAAAAAAAAAAAAAAAAAAAGACATGTACAGGGTAAAAGCTCTGGGTTGTTGTTTTAAAATCACATGCTGGAGTTTGCTGGGTGAGAGTGGTTGCTCCTCACTTGGAGGAGCTCTCAAATCCAGCTGAGATTTGGGTTCCACTGTAGCCCTGAGTTATTCCTGTTGCCATAGAAATAAATGGATGTGTTTCCTGCCTCAGACCACGCTGCCTGCAGATATCCATCCTCCCTGCTCCTCACCAGCCCTGGCCATGGGATTGAGCTTCCAGGTTCTGCTTCTCCCAGGAACTCCACATGCAGCAAGGACTTTTATTTCTCCTTTTATTTTAGATATTTTTTTTTTGAATGATTGGCTGGTGTTCAGCTCACAGAAAACGTGCTTCTGACTGGGAGGCAGTGACTCCATTCAGTGACATTCCCAGTTTGGCTGGAGCCAAATGTTGTCACTCTGCCTGTGGAACACTCCGGGAAAACACAGGCAGTGGGAATCACAGGGAGGCTGAGATGTTTTCCCTTCTCTTTGTTCTCCTCCTTCTGGAGGAAGGGAAAATCAATGCCTTTCGAATCAGTGCATTAAAAAGCTCTCAAATGGGCTGTAATTACAGGCCCATCTGTTGTCAAATTGGTGAATTGCCGGCGGCAGAAATGAGGGAAGATCTTCCCACTTGGTCATCGCTGAGCAGCCCTGGGGGCACTCCCATGGGAGGCACAGGCAGCCAGCTCTGGTTTTGGAATCCTTCTTGGAGGAGAA